GAGTTGGAGATGAGCCAATTTGCCTCTCACAGTCCTGAGTTGATCCCAAGAGGAGCCTAGATTGTGTGCCTAACTACCATTTTGCTTGCCCCTGTTACTTACCACTCACAGGCTCTCACAGGAATTCCCACACAACTGTGTATGAGTAGAGCAGCCATGGAGCCCTAGGAGTGCATGGCATAACACTTGTCACCACGCCCTTTTCCCTTCCCGGCCATGCGTGCATCCCATCCATTGGCCGCCACAACATTGAGTTGATATTCCCACTAACCATGGCCACCGGCCCTGGCCCGAGCCTAGGCTGGCCTCCCCTTCCCGAGAACCATGGCTTCCGAGGCTGCCCTAGGCCCGGGATTGGATGGCTGCGGGGGTCTGGGATCTTTGTTCTTATTATTATAGATTGTGTGGCCAGCTCATCAAGACACCTCTCCTAGCGGTCCAACTACTAACACCTACAACTAACACAAAGTTTCTTCTTCTTGATTGTCATGCTGAAACTGCAAGAAAAAAGGAAACTTGTGCTCAATATCAATGGATGACTTACTTTCTTAGTCTCAATCCTGGGAGTTCTAAAGTAATTCTAGCACTGGTCAATTCTAGAGGTAGAAGCATCAGGCTGTGATGCAGCAACCATAGAAGTGTTGATTCCAAATGATTGTGGGCAAGCCTAAACTTTGTGTGGTGTGAGCCCAGTGCCAATTCTCGGCACAATCATCACTCAATAATGCTAAGATGGATGGCCTGGGTCTGGGATCCAATGGTTGGCAGGCCTCCCCACTATCACTTTATATATATATATATAAAAGTCATATTCTTGTCTCAAAGATTAAGCCATGCATGTGTAAGTATAAATTGTTTTGTACTATGAAACTAGAAATATACTAAAATATATTCTTTTATATATATATATATAAAAAAATGAAGGGCATAGCCATCCAATCCCAAGCCCGGGGCAGCCTCAGAAGCCATGGTTCTTAGGAAGGGGAGGCCATCCCAGGCCCGGGATAGGACCAGTAACTATGGTTTGTGGGAATATCAACTCAATGTTGTGGTGGCCAATGGGTAGCATGCACATATGGCCAGGAAGGGAAGAGGGCATGGTCACAGCTGTTACACCATGCACTCCTAGGGTTCCATGGCTGCTCTGCTCATGGCTGCATAAGCAGCACCACATGCTTTTGTGGCTTGGGCCCTCTCTGAATTGCAGTTCAATTGCACATGTCAGCACTGATGGATTCAGCTAGGCAAATGAATCAATTCCTAGTGTAAGATTTCCCTATTTTTGATGCGGTGGTGAAAGAGTTGGCGCAGATTTGCAGATTTGCTGTCTACAAGGTGGTGGAGAGAAGCTATGGAGATTCTGATTTCTTAGTCTTCCTTGTGTCCCAGTCATAGTCACTAGGGAACTCACTTGTGTCTGCTTGGAGATGAGGGCGAGTTACTTTCCTTCAGGTGGAGAAGCTATGCTTAAGGAATTAACCTGCTCACAGATGCCTGGTAAGAAATTCTTTCTGTTTAAATTATTTTGAAGGCCTAATGGCATGTGTGCTAGCAAAATGGTATGCGAAATTTGATCTCGCTAGACCTACTCCATCCAATCTAAGCTAAGTCGTCCCTCGCAGAAAGCGCTGTCCTCACACTTTAATCTGGCACTGTAATTAACAAAATGTTCAGCAAATTTGCAAAAGAAAAGTCTAATTCCTTCAATTCATTTGCTCCTGACCCTGAACTGTGCTATGCACACACCTTGATGTGATAAAATTTAGCTAGAGAGCTAGCATGGATTCACAAACTTGCTCATCCATCTTGGTGGGCAGAGAGAAGCTACAGGGTGAAAATGTTTCACCATAAATGTGCATGCATAGCAACTTTACTTCTGTAACTATCCACCTTTGCAACGTGGCTAGAAGTGAGTGATCCCTTTCTTTCTCAACAATTCCTTTCCTAGACTAACTTGATTTCTATTACTGCCACATCAATTGAAACTTTGCACTTGCATATTCAAATGTATAGAATCAAGAGGCTTTAATCAGATTACATGGAATTACCCTTTTACCGTGGCTCCTCCTTTGCCTTTGCAGCCATGATTACTGAATCAATTACTATTGATGATAGGTTACTTTAGCTTCAAGACTTTTTTTTTACGAAGATTTCAAAAGCTTACTTTAGCAGTGTAAGAGTTGATCAGGGAGCAAATATAGCTAAAATCAGCAAATCTCTTAAAATGGTATGAAATTGCAAACCACCCAAATTACTAGTATATATATGGCATGGCTATTTGAATTACACTTTGCTTTGCTTACTGCTAAGCACACTTTAAAATTTATCTAGGAATGAGTTTATTCCGTCTTGCTAGAAAGCCCTAAAGAACACGTGGCAGGCTCGAGCGGAAGTGTGTTGGAGAAGGAGCCCAGCTCGTTCAAGAAGCGCGAAAAAGAGGAGAAAGAAAAACCTAGGGTTTGGGCGATCGATCGGCGGCGATGTTTTACTCGCAGTACATTTTGGCAAAGAAAGGGCCGCTGGGGACGATCTGGATCGCAGCGCACCTCGAGAAGAAGCTCCGCAAGAACCAGGTGAACGACACCAACATCTCCACCTCTGTAGGTATGTTGTCCGCGCAATCTTGTTCTTGTTCCTGTCCCTTTTCCCTTAATCTCTCCTTTGTGTGTGTGTGTCTCTAGATTCTATTCTCTTTCCCGAGGTTCCCATCGCGCTGCGCTTGTCGGGTCACTTGCTGCTAGGCGTTGTGAGGATTTACTCCCGCAAAGTAAACTATCTCTTCCACGATTGCAACGACGCGCTTGTCAAGCTCAAGAATGCCTTCTCCTCCGCGACTTCGGCGTCCGTGGATCTTCCGGCCGACGCCGCCAGTGCTCCCTTTCACTCCATCACTCTACCGGAAACGTTTGAGTTCGACGACATAGATGTGTTGTACATTCCTGATGGGTACGTGCTTCTTTTCTTTGGTGTTTTGTTTCTCTTTTCCCACCAAGAGCCACCGCTTGCAGAGTCGATCACCATGTTACAACTCGAGACCAAATTACTCTGGAAGAAAATGTCGTGGACGATACGTATCCGGGTTCTCAGTTCGAGCAGGACGGTATGTATGTAGCTCCCAGGCTAACACTCGCTCACGGTTTGTTCATCTTGCAGAAAGGTTTATGGAAACTCCTCACGCTATGGACATTGGTAACGAGGTCTGCTTTGTGACTTATTCCTTTTCTCGTCAGCTTCTTTGCTAAGACGTGATCTTCAGAAATTTCCGTTGAACGAGGCTGAAACACCCGAGCTCCAAGAAGAGTGAGTTTCATCCTTCTTTCTTTTCCTTGATTTTTTTATGCTGACTGATCTTTAACTTGCTATAACAGTGTGCTTCCTCCAATGGATATGGATGTTGGACCTTCTTCGCCGCTGGATGCAGACACTGTCCCTGACATTGAGAAGCTTCGATCCGCTTCGCTGGCTGGGGAAGAAAACTTTCATGCTTTTGAGAAGCAAAGTGTCGAGCCAGTGGCAGCCGAACCACGAGAGGACGCCGTTGTCGAAGAAGCACGGCTGGTTGAAGACGAGCAGCCTTTACCGAGCACACCCGTTTCAAGGTCAGACGCGAACTCTCCTGGTGCTCAGCGGTTTCCAGGTAATGCTTAGCATGAGATTATTGTTGTCCGAAATGCTGACGAATGCGTGCAATCACTCTAGATGGCGACGAAACTCCTGCTTTCGGAGTTGTGGAGACCCCTGTTCCATCTCGCAAGAATAACACTCCTAGAAAGAGAAAGCAAGCATATGATATGCAGGTAACACTCTCGGAAAGGTAATGTGTTTGTTTCAATGATGTCGGATCTTCACCTTTTCTTTTTAAACTCGGCACGTTGCAGTTACATGAAAGATATGCTCAACGATTCGTCTGACCTGCGCCGGGTCCGGAGAAAGGTTTCTCCCAAGGAGATTTGGATTTTTCAAAAAGAACGTCTAGGCAAGCGTACGCTGAGCACACCTTCTGTGGATGGTAATCTTGTCCCTGGATGCTTGTAGTCCTTAACGACCATTTTCTTCCGCAGGCCTATGCTCTCGGCTGGAACAACTTTATGACCGAGTTTTCAATCCAAAGCGATTGAAAGCCTCCGCTCCCAACGTGACCTTCGCTGCAGATGGCGCAGATGTCGAAACTACTCCCGTTCAGGATCGTACCAAAGTGCAGTCACCTCCAAAGTCACCCCTCGCCACGCCACAATCACCAGGCGGGGTTTCTCCTGCACCAGTCAGATCACCAGAGCAATCTCCTCTTGAAGTACGGAACCCATCACCCCAGCAACTATATGCAATACCTGAAATGCCGGAAGTAGAAGCTCCCACTCCTATAATTCCAGACAGTGGCGGTAAGTTTATCGAATTATTACGATTTTGGTAACGAAAAACATTTCCTGACAGGTGGTGAAACAGGTGCATTTGAAGATAGAGTAAGCGAGCAAATTCAAAAACATCACGAGGATAATAGCAAACAAGCGGAAGAATACCACGACACTGTGCAGACCGATCATGACAAGAACACTGTGCCTCGGGAGTTTCCACCACCAATCGACTCTTGTGAGTGACTCTCTCTTATGTTTGTGTGTGTTTTTCCCTGATTTGCTCTTTTACAGCTTATTTATTGGCTAGCAATGGCACTGACCTGGTAGGCTCACAATCTGAAGGATGGTCCGAACGAACAAGGTACACTCTGAAAGTGAAAAACTGGAGTGAGTGAAAAACAAATCATCCATTGCAGGGCGATTGCGCAGTTTCTTCGAGCTACATTTGATACGGCTGTAAAGAGGCCTGTGACTCTGAACAAGCTCTTAACTGGCAAAACTAGGAAGGAAGCAGCTCGGATGTTTTTCGAGACTTTGGTATGGTGGATTTTTGGTTTTCAACTAGAAGCTCATGTTGCGATTGACAGGTTCTTCGAACAAATGATTACATCACAGTGGAACAAAAGAGCGCATACGAGGACATAAGTATCCATTATCGTCCCAAGCTGATGAAGGCCGTGTTTTGACGAGAGGATGGTCCGTGTAAATAGGTTATCTACAGGTTTTTCCTCTGTCACAGATGTAAGTTACTTCGATGGCTTCAATCGCAAATCCGGGAGTGTTCTTCCCTGTCAACAAGCAACCATATCGCATCGCAAAGTTCTCCTTTTCATCTTGTTTTGCAGCTAGTACCAGAGCAAGAGCTTCCAGAATGACGAAAGAAGAGTTCCTGGCAAGACCCATCGATGAGGTAAGCACTCTCGCTTTACTTCGTGAGAGATGGATGGAACGCTCCTTCTTTGTTGTCTGTGCAGGAATGGGAGAAAGCCAGGCGGCAGGAGACGGCGGACTTGGAGAGAAGGCGGCGCGAGGAAGACGAAGAAGAAGTGAGGCTAGCGCTCGAGTACCGAAGGATTGGGTCGAGCCTTAAGAACTATCCGCAAGAGGAGGTGAATAAGGCAAGACGGCTCGTAGCCAACTTGATCAAGTCGGGCGAGGAGATCGAAGAGGTGAGTTCCTCCTTTTTTAGCATTTGGGTGATCGCTTCAAAGTGTAGGCTCTCTGGTGTAGATGATTGTCGAGGCTGGCGATAATGAAGAACTCACTCCACTGTTGCTTCTGGTGATCAAGAGTCGGCTGGAGCTGGCACGGCAAGACGACGAGAGAGAGGCTGTGGAAGCTCTGGATCTACTGCACAGACGAGTTGAGGTGAAGCGCTGTTGATGATACTCTTCACGTTGAAAGAGCTATTGTTGCTTTTGGCAGTACGAAATCATGAAGAGGCAGGCGAGCCCCTCAATGCGTTTGCTCAATGAGTTGCTAAACTTGCACGATGGAACCGATGACACCGAGTGGCTGCGAAAGGCCCGGCACCGGATGCTGAAAGCTTTTCCCCCGGAGCATGCCTTCACCATCCTTGCACCTCGGGGCTTTGATCTCTCCTCGGTAGGCTCCAGTAATTGTTGCTCGTGAGGAAACTTACAACTCGTTTCTCTCGCTCAGCACCATGGTCCAATCGACGCACCAGTAGAGGGCGACGACGACGACGTTCTCCTCCGCATCGACTTCATAAGAGAAGTGAACCAGCTCGTCAAGGAAGTGGAAGCTCAAATCCATTCCCATGAAGTGGAAGACCTGGACACTGATGCTGTGGCGCTGCGGCTCAGGCTGGAAGACAAGAAGCGAAACTTGCAATACGTGAAAGATCTGCTTGAGGTAGCTATAGCGCTGAAATGGTAACTTAGTAAAGTGGTATACATTTAACTGAGCATGTTTTACATAGCTTACTTTAGCCTGAGTGGCCTATGCATTTACAGACAAGAGTTGCTTCTCCACTTGCAAAAGTTTGCGCTGCAAAGAATAGAATAGAAAATGTTTAGAAAGCATCCAAGGGTATTTGGAGTTTTGTTACCTGGAACGACTTGGATCTCCGGAGGGAGGGATCCAAACCAAGAGCAAGGGACAAGTAATGCCTGGCTGCATCGAATTGGGCCATCTTTGTGTATGCGTCGGCTTGTCGGACAAAAGCCACTGGCCAGTCGGGATGTAACTCAGCAGCCATCTTGGCATCTGCTAGTCCAGCTTCTAGATCGTCCATGGCAACCAGCACAGCGGACCTGTTCTTACTCGGTGAGAAACTTAGCGGAGTTTGATTGAAAAGCTATACCTCTTGGCATAGATGTAGTGCAAGCCACCGCTTGGATTTAGCTCAATCGCCTGGAGAAAACGAACATGAATGAATCGTCCTGTTTCTCTTCTTTAGATGGAATACGTACGTGTGTGAAGTGATCATACGCTTGCTCGAGCTGGCCGAGGTCGACCGCCTTGTCCCCCTTTTGAGCGAGAGCAAAAGCGGCAAGATTACTCTCGGGATTGCTGGCTCCGCATTGCACGTCCAGAAAGCGCGCAGCATGCGCTGGAGTGTTGCAGTAGGAGACCAAGCGCTGGTCTGGCAGCAGCACAAGATTTGGACCCGAGCCACAGCGTCCTGGCATTGTCGATGGATTCGAATGAGGAGAAGAAGAAGGAGAAGAAGAACACATACCCAGGCAACCGCATGATTCCACCGACACAGCCGCTGGCGCCAAATTCTGGAGCGCTTGCAGCGTCTGGAGGGAGCCGCTCTTCCTGCAAGTGGTGTGCGTGCACACCCGGACCTCGCGCCTCTTCTCCGCCGATGCGCGGCAGCCAAGAACCCTAAATCCCACTCCCGCTGACGAGGACAATGCGCTTGTACTCATGGTGGGTGAAAAGAAGGAAAGAAAAAAGGGGTTTATACCTTGTGACCTGGAGGGTACACGTGGATGTGAGCCGGGTTGGGGCGGAATCGAGCTCGAGACCGGCTGTGTTTATATTACACAGGGGATCGCGAGGCTAGGGTTTTGTTCCCTTGCGAGAGAGTAATGCGGAAGGTGAGAAGGAGGGATCGGATGAATGCGGGAGGAGCTGGGATCGTCGCTGTGAAATCCAGCAGCTAAGCAGGCGCAGGGCCAAATTCCAGAGAATGATTAGTGTAGGCAGCGCGAATGGAGCACCTGGGGGTGGGCAGGGCCACTCTGGAGAGAGCGCGAGCTTGGCATGGAACTTCTCACAGGTGTTTGGGGAGCGCATGTCCGGTGAAGAAATCCAGGAAGGTAAGAAGGAGTTTTTTTCTTCTTAATCAGTGATTGGAATTCCTGTCCTAGCTTACAAGCATACACACACTGAAACGCTCCAGCATAACTTAACTGCATTTATTTTGTGTTCCTTCCTATCGTCTCGCTTCGCTCGAGACGAGACGGTGTGGGATTTGGTGTCTAGGAGCTGGATGCCAATAGTGGTTTTTTCTTCGAGACTGTAGTTGACACCTGGGTTCTGGATTGGTTGCAGTTGACATTATATCCGCAATCGAATTCGACAAGACTGGTGATCATCTCGCAACTGGAGATCGCGGAGGGCGAGTAGTCCTCTTTGACAGATGTGATGATAAAGAGGTGTGAAGAGAAAGTCTGGTTTTTTTCTTTATCTTCAGTGGTACTATATATCCTAGCTTGTCTTGCTGCAGCTAAAAAACCGCAAAGAGTTAGAGAAGGCTGACCATTCGATACCTAGGCATCCGGAGTACCGCTACTCAACCGAGTTCCAAAGCCACGAACCAGAGGTGCGCTTGCTCTATCGTTGAAGCGTGTTGATGCTACATTACTTTTGTTTTGGCTTCCCCAGTTTGACTACCTCAAGAGCCTGGAGATAGAGGAAAAGATCAACAAAATCAGATGGTGTCACACGGCTAACGGCGCTCGTTTTGTTTTATCCACTAATGACAAGACCATCAAGCTTTGGAAGGTAGGATTTCTATTCGGATTAACTTGACGCGTATGTTGGATCCTCTGAACAACGAGCAGATCACAGAAAAGAAGGTCAAGAGAGTTACAAAGCTAAACGTGGAGACGCCTGAACCATTGGGTCCTAAGAAGGCCTCGTTGATACACAACATGGCTCAAAATTTTGAAATTCCTCCCGGTGGGATTCCGTCCCTTCATTTGCCAAAGGTATGCTGCTGCTGCTTTTTCTTCTTGTTGCTAAGCTTTGCTGCAGGTTTCTTGCACCGAGACAGCACCTTTTGCCAGATGTAGAAGAGTTTATGCAAATGCCCATACATATCATATAAATTCGATTTCCAATAACAGGTCAGCTGTTTGCATTGTGGGGCGCGTGTCTGACGCTGGTGCTCTCTTTTTTATGCAGTGATTGCGAAACGTATATTTCTGCTGACGATTTGAGAATCAACTTATGGAATATGGAAATTAGTGACCTTAGTTTCAACATTGTTGATATCAAGCCAGCTAACATGGAAGATCTTACAGGTATAGTCGCATCTCCGCTTCAGTTTTTCATGTCTGACAGGATGATGTTAACCTTTGTACAGAAGTTATAACGTCTGCAGAGTTCCATCCCTCCCACTGCAATACTCTTGCTTATAGCAGCTCAAAGGGAACAATTCGTCTTATAGATATGCGGCAATCGGCTCTTTGTGACCGGCATGCTATATTGTAAGTTCTTGTCTTCTACGCGTGGACTGAAGTTCCATCCTTCCAATGTAGGTTCGAGGAACAGGAAGCTCCTGCAACAAGATCATTTTTTACAGAAATTGTTGCCTCCATCTCGGATATCAAGTTTTCTCGTAGTGGACGGTACATTCTCAGCCGCGACTATATGACATTAAAGGTTTGGCGTTTGTTTTGTTTGCTCGGATCTTTCATTGTTAACGTTTCTTCCTACTTTCAGCTTTGGGACGTGAACATGAACGCCTCTCCGGTTGTGTCTTTCAAAGTTCATGAGTATTTGAGACCTAAGGTTGCGTCTTTCGATGTCGTTCGGGTGGTCCCTGACTTTGCGGGTTCTTTTGCGTTGCAGTTATGTGACTTGTATGAGAACGATTCTTTATTCGACAAATTCGAGTGCTGTTTAAGTGGCGATGGCCTCCGTGTAGCAACCGGATCCTACAGGTATGGATGATTCGAGTTTCCAAGTGTGTGTGTGACGAGCTTTTTCATGTTTTGCAGTAATTTGTTTCGTGTGTTTGGGGTGACCCCGGGTAGCGATGAAGCGACTACTTTGGAGTGTACTAAAACGCCAAACAGGTACGAGAAAAAGAGAAAGCTTCTCTCCGGAGTGGATTGTTCTAACGGTTTTCGCTGGTGATGAAGGCGGCAAGCACAAACCCCGAGCAGATTCAGCCGTTTCCCTGCCCTCTCTCGAGGGCGGCGACGAGGTGAAGGTTTCTGGAAAGTTTCAGTTCTCGTTTTGGTGATTGATGGTTTCTTCTTTTGCGTTTGTAGAGAATGGAGGCAGTGGTGCCGCTTCTGGGAGTGAGATGAATGGCAGCTACGATTTCTCATCAAAGCTGTTGCATTTGGCGTGGCATCCGTGTGCTAATCTCATCGCATGCGCCGCCTCCAACAGCCTGTACATGTATTATGCTTAAGTAGAGTGAGAGCGAGACAAAAAGAAAAAAAAAAAACAAACAAAAAAAGTGAGAGTATCCAGCGATCGATCGAAGAGTTATTTCTTCTTCTTTTTCTTCTTCTTCGTCTTCCTTGCAACAATCTTCTTCGCGAAAGAGAAAAGAAATAAGCAAATGCAAGCAAGCAAGCCATTCTTTGTAGACTGACTTCAAACTTTTCAAGTAATAATCTTGTATCAATGGAAGTAAAGGCTTATCATTCAAAGGAGCTGCTTAGGTTTTTATTCTTTGCCGCGAGGGAGTGGAGAGAGAATTCTCCCCGATGGCGGCAGCTGCTGCTCCGGCGATCCCAGTGCTTGTGGCTGGAGGAGTAGCAGCTCTCGTCCTGAAATTCTTCTCCAGGAGGCCACCAGCAGCGCCAGAAATCCAGGGAGAAGCATCCGATGATGGTAAAGATGCTTCCTCCGCTCCAGAGGTTCCTCCGATCACTCTCAGCTGGCACAAGATCTGCTGCGCGCTCCAGGCCAAGGATGGCATCACGACGGTGAGTGGATATTTCGATCGATGGTCTCATCACTCGCGATGCGATTGCTCTCTTTCGCTTAGGTGAAGCGCCTGCTTAAGAATCTGAGTGGAGAAGCGAAGGCAGGGAGGCTTCTGGCGATCATGGGGCCATCTGGCTCTGGAAAGACGACCATTCTTAACGTTCTAGCCGGGCAGCTCGCTGCATCGCCTCGACTCAAGCTTACGGGGCTGCTCTTCGTCAATGGAACTCCCTGCGTTTCTACGTCTTACAAGTAAGCTATCGGCTAGCTTAATATTAGTTTTTCATTCATTCTATTCATCGCAGGGTTGCATATGTCCGGCAAGAAGATCTCTTCTTCTCTCAACTCACGGTTCGCGAGACACTCTCCCTTGCTGCTGAGCTTCAATTGCCGGGATCTAGCACTGCTGCGGAGAGGAGTCGCTACGTGGATGACATACTGCAACGCTTGGGGCTGGTATTTCTATTTTGAACTTGTTTTGTATCATTAAAAACTTCTGTGAGCCATGGAACATTGTAGGTGCGCTGTGCGGACACGCCCGTGGGTGATGCCAAAGTGAGAGGCATCAGTGGTGGAGAGAAAAAGAGGCTGTCGATAGCCTGCGAACTCATTGCCAGTCCATCTGTAATTTTTGCCGACGAGCCAACTACAGGTTTGTTTTGTGCTACGCAGTTTCGGAGTCATTTCTGATTCCTTGGACTTTTTCCCTTGGCCAGGACTTGATGCATTTCAAGCAGAGCAAGTGATGGAAACTCTCAAGAAACTTGCCCAAGATGGTCATACCGTTGTGTGTTCGATTCATCAGCCTCGTGGATCAATCTATTCCAAGTTTGACGACCTCTTATTGCTCTCGGAGGGATCAGTCATTTATGCAGGCCCGGCACAAAATGAAGCTCTAGCATATTTTGCAGGCCTCGGGTTTGCAGTTTATATTTTTCAGCATGAAATCTCTGACAGAAGTTTATCGCAGGCATTCGTGTCCAGAACACGTAAATCCGGCGGAATTTTTTGCCGACCTCATCTCGATCGATTATAGCTCCCCGGAGAAAGAATCGGCCTCAAGAAAACGCGTGGAAGCTTTTGTGGAAATTTTTGCGACTACACTGTATGCCACTCGATCACTTTCTGGGACCGAGCCAGCTCCCGTAAAGCTTTCCACACAATATGTTACACAGCAGAAGGTTGGGTGGTGGAAGCAGTTCAGGCTGCTCTTTAGACGAGCCTGGCTGCAGGTATGTACGCGTGTGCATGAACCTTTCGAAGAGCTTACTCCGTTCATTTATTACCAGGCAATACGCGATGGCCCGACAAACAAAGTGCGAAGTAGGATGTCCGTTGCAGCTGCCATGATCTTTGGCTCGATCTACTGGAGAATGGGGCGTTCCCAGACGTCAATTCAAGATCGTATGGGTCTCCTTCAGGTCTGTTTTGAATTGCCTTGTAATGGATTTATGTAAGTTCACTCCTCTCTACAGGTTGCAGCTGTGAACACTGCAATGGCTGCACTGACCAAGACTGTTAATGTCTTTCCTAAGGAACGTGCTATCGTTGATAGAGAGAGAGCCAAGGGAAGCTACGGTTTGGCACCTTACTTGGCTGCGAAGCTCATAGCGGAGATGCCAATTGGTGCTGCCTTTCCTCTCCTCTTTGGTGCCATTCTCTATCCAATGGCTCGGCTCCATCCATCAGCAAAGAGGTGATACCTTATAGTAAACTACCACTCACTTCCATTCTAAAGTTGGTTTGCATGCGCTACAGGTTTGGTAGTTTCTCAAGCATTGTGACTGTGGAGTCTTTCACGGCGTCGGCTATGGGATTGTGTGTGGGAGCCATGGTTCCCACTACGGAGGCAGCAATGGCACTGGGACCATCGCTCATGACCGTGTTCATCGTCTTTGGTGGCTACTACGTGAACTCGGAGAACGCTCCCGTCATGTTCCGCTGGATTCCGCGAGTGTCACTCATAAGATGGTAAGCATTGAATCTACTTTCTCGGCTCTGAGCAATGTCGTTCAATGCAGGGCTTTCCAAGCACTGTGCATAAACGAGTTTAAGGGATTAAAGTTCGAGTGTGACAAACCGTATGATCTTCCCAACGGGGAACAGGTATTTAATACTGATCTTCCTGTGTTTTTGTTCTTGATGCGATCTTGCGCTTATCGAGAAAATGTAACGGCGTGCTGCAGGCACTGGAAAGATTGGGATTCGGTGACAGCACCATAAACAAGGCAATGGTGGAAGAAGGCCGAATTCTCCTCTTTTGGTACACAATGACATACGCATTGATGAGGAAGAACAAGCCTCGGTACCAACGTATTGTAGCACCAGATGAGAGCTCATAACACCCGAGTAAGTGGTTTTCAAACAAGAAAGAAGCTCTCTCGCATTTTGCTTTTTTATTTCCCGGCATTGGAATCAATCAACCAATGCAGATATAAAGTACTCAACTCAGCATCGAGGAGAGTCCTGCAGCGATCGCCTCCTTGCCAGCCACGTCAAATGGCTCGTCACCAATGTAGAGATCAAACAGGCAGCGGCACAGGAGTTCGCTCTTGACACTCCCGACCTCCTGGCCATCGACTGAGAAGGAAGAACAGAAAATGGTAACTCGAAGGCCTATGAATTGCGAACTTACTTCTGGTGGACAGGACGTGACCGGGGAGTCGGACCATGTCGATGGCTGTCCCCTTTGGCAGCTTGATATCCTCCTTGAAGAGCTGAGTGAAACTGTGGAGGAGCAAAGAGAAGAGATCGAGTGCTAGGAAACGAGAGAAGCAACTTATCAAGCCAAACCTCTGGAGGAGTTGTTTGTTCTCGGCCCCGGAGAACTTCTTGATGCGTCCGCCAATGGATTCCTCGAAGGCGCTGCGCACGGTGCCCATCTTGAGCTTGCCATAGACGATGACGAGCCGGACGCTCATCTCCGCATCCATGCATGGCAGCTCCGCCAGCGAGATCGCCTTCTTGTCATCCTTAAGCTTGAGCTCGCGGAGCTTGGCGGCGTTGGCATAGATTCCTGGACGAGCGAGCACACATTGTCAGAGATGGAAGCCAAAAGATGGGAGTTTGTACCAAAGGCGTAGACGACGATGCTCTTGAGGCCCAAGATGCTCTTTTTGCGCAATCCCGTGCCGCCCAGCTCCAGCTTTGCGCCATCGCTGTCGATCCAAGCAGGGAACTCGGCCCCGGTGGAGGATTCCACGGTGAGAGGAGGAGAGGGGAGAGCCATGGATATGGCGGCGAAGAATGGCGATGGAGAGGGAGGAGGAAGAGAAAGCTTGAGACGAGCATATGAATAATTCACTGCTACCGCGACTGCCGCGGCGGCTGCTGCTGCCATAGCCGCGGGAGGTCGCGGCGAGCGACACGGCGGCATGCCACCGCGAGCCATGGCCTCCATTTTCTTTTTCTCTCTTTCTTTCACGGCTATCTAAACCCAGGTAGGAGTTTGTCCTATTACCCCAGTGGAAAACACAATCTTTTCCATGAGAGCTTCCAAGATATCAACCCTTCAAACATGGTCACTTTAACTACTTCCCCTTGTAAGGAAAATTTGCGATTTACGATATGGTTGAGAGGTTCCACCACCTTGGTCTCTTGGACACTCTATTTTTTCTCCACTTGGGTTTTAGGGCGCGCAGGATTTTAGGCTAGCAAGGAATGGAGAGCGCGGGCGAGGCTGTGGTGTTTCCCTTGCTCAAGGAATGGGTGGATTACACCTACAGGCCGTGCACCATCCCCTATCGCTTCCCATCGGATCCGCCACACCAGCCCACCCCCACCGAGATGCTCTGGATCCAGCTCTTCCGCAGATCGATCCCTTCTTTCAGGTTCTACTGTGAGCGATTCCGCACAGATTCTCAAATCGCCTCGCGTTTTGCCCCAGCAAGCGAGCAGAGATGGACGATTCGGTGCCCGACGCAGCTGCCAAGGCGCGTGTGTTTGCATCGAGGTAAGAGAATCTCTTGCAAGTGATGGATCTTATTTTCATGGTTTCTTAGATTCGGGAAGATGCTAGACGATCTAGAGGCCAATCCGGAGAGTCACGGTGGACCTCCTGATTGCATTGTAAGTTTCCTAGAGATCATTCATTCAATCCAATGCCAATCGTGGTCGTCTTACATTTTTTCTTTTCTTCTTCTTTCCTTAGCTTCTTTGTAGGCTTCGAGAGGTATGTCTCCGTGAAACTGGATTCCGAGATATCTTCAAGAGTGTCAAAGTAAGTTGGCCTTTTCTCTTTGTAAAGTGTTCCTCCCTACTTAGTGCGTTTCTCTTGCTATCTAGGACGACGAGAACGCTAAAGCCTTCGTTTTGTTTGAGGAAGTTGTAAAAGCCGCGGACGCCATAGCTGACGATGGTGGGCGATTGGAACACCTTGTCAAATGCTTGCTCGCAGGAAATGTGTTTGATCTCGGCTCCGCAGAGGTAATCAATCTCTTAAACTATCTAGTCGCTAAAACTCGTGAACTATAGCTCGCAGAAATGTACAAGAGCGATGGCATGTCTTTTGTCAAGAGTGTGGAGAAATTACTGCCTCGTCCTTGGGTGATTGACGATCTAGACAAGTTTAAGCTTATGTGGCTACGTCGATCCTGGAAAAAGGTGAGAAGCTGTCATTTCTTGTGTGATCTTTAAAGCGTGCTTTGTTCACAGGCCGTCATCTTTGTCGACAATGCGGGGGCTGATATCATTCTGGGAATCATCCCTTTGGCTCGAGAACTCCTTCGACGAGGTACACAGGTGGCTGCATTCTTTCCATGCTCTCAATCTCAAAGTCTTTGGAACAAAGAAGCCTGTTTTTTATCTGTATGCTTCCTCCTTTTAGGTGGTCTTGGCTGCCAACGAGCTGCCCTCGATCAACGACATCACCTACGCGGAGCTGCTGCAAATCATGTCCAAGGTTTGAAGTCTCGGGTTTTTTGTCGCTTTATTGACTCGTGGCATCGTCTGCGTGTTTTCAAGCTGAAAGGAGAAGACGGAAAGATACAGGGAGTCGATGCTAGCGGCCTCATGGTTATCAACACTGGGAACGACTTACCCGTAAGCTCACTCCAAGTTTTCATCTAGAAACTCACCGAGTGACGACTTTTCAGGTGATCGATTTATCATCTGTGTCGCAAGAGCTAGCTTTCGCAGCCGCTGATGCCGACCTTGTCATTCTGGAGGGGATGGTAACTTCCAATTCATGATCATGCCTGTGATTCTTATCACTGATCATGCTACATTGTTACAGGGAAGAGCCATTGAGACCAATTTGTACGCGCAGTTTCGTTGCGACTCCCTCAAAGTAGGAATGGTACGTAGCTATGTGATGCGTGTCTCAAGACTCCGAAGAGGTTACTAGGAGAGTTTTTTACAGGTTAAGCATCAGGAAGTGGCCGAGTTCTTGGGGGGGCGACTGTACGATTGCGTCGTCCGGTTCACCGAGGTGATTGCGTGATAGCAAGATTGCAAGTTGAATCTATAGGGGCGACCAAAGGTGCCGAAAGTTGGAGCAAGCTATAGTACTTCCAAAAGGGGATGAAAGGTAAGCTATGGAATAGCTCCAAGCTCGAGGTATGTAGAAGCGATTATTTTCTTAAAAGAAAGATGGATACTTGCCAAACACTTTCGTGAAGTTCTACCACAGAGAAGCAAGGTGGCGGATGTTGAAAGGAAACGTTTCTCGCAGAGTTCCGTTCCAAAACCTGTGAGCAGCGATCCGGTTGAAAGCACTTGAAGGGTGTGCGATGTCCCAGAAGAGATACTGCGATGGGTTTGAACAGTAGCTATCGGTGGCATTGCACCATCGTCCACCTCCAACCGGGCAGCAGGGATCCACAGTGCTGGACAATCCAAAAGCACCCGGCTGCTGGATCACACCCATCATCAAGTCGTGGAGATTCGCGTACACGATGTGGAGTCCGAGGTGGGAGGAACTGAAGTCGCGGAGGAGCTGCTGGAGAGCTCGGTTGTAGGCCCGAGCCGAGGACTCCCCGGCTGGCTCGCAGGGAAGAGAGCGCTTCTCCAGTGGCGGACACCCGATGATCGCCGCGGACACCACCACCATCTTGCGAGCTCCACACGAGTAGAGGCGGTGGAGGTCGCACTCGAGCGATCGCAGCAGCGCGGCGAGGAGCTCGAGCGGAGCTTGGCTCCCGGTGGCTCGCACGGCGTTGGCGACGTCGTTGGTGCCGATGTTGAGGTAGAAGATGGCGCGGGAGATCGTCCGGTGGCCGTGGTGCTGCTCCAGCGTTGTGCTTAGCTGCTCGAAGTCGCCGATTTGCTGCTCAAACGTCCGGATGCCTTGCTTCGAGTGGAGGACAAAGTTCGTGAGATTGGATCATGGCTTTTCTTCTCCTTACCAGGCCGGTGGTGTTGAAGATCCCAGCGCTGGCGGACGCGAAGTTGGCCCCGGTGCTAAAGTTGGCGCGTTTGTCGTGGAAGTTTGGAGGATATGGGAGTCCCAGGAACGAAGCTGTCCAGCAAAGCGTTCTTGAGAGAAGCAAGAATGGAAGAACAAGATGAGAGATCTCGATACCAATGTAGTCTGTGACGATGAGCCCGTCGCTCCATCGCCCCGTGGATCGCCGGCCCTCGAAGTTGATCCCATACGGCGGGTGATTGCACTTGGCGGAGGTGTTGAAGAAATTGTTGTTCCCGGAGTCGACGAAGGAATCGCCAAAGACGAAGAGCGCAGGAACATCGTAGCGGTGCTGAGGAAAAGGAGCGCCGCTTACGAGCAAAGATCGCAAGAGCGCCAGGAGCAGCGGCAGCATTTCGATCGAATCGATCGATCATGGCGAGAAGAGCCACAGGCGAGCGCGCAGAGATTTAAGTAGTGGAGCATTTCATGCCAAGGCGATGGATGGCATCCGGGAAAGCAAAAAAATAAGAATTTTATAAAACTCCAAGAACCCTAATCTCAAGAGCCCTAGGTTGAGGAGGCGATGGCGGCAGGGCAGCCAGGTGCTGGGGCGGGGCAACCTTCCTCGTCCGCCACTCCAGCGGCGATGATCCAGCAGCTCCAGCAAGGGCAGCAACAGCAGCAGCAGCAGAGCCAGCATTTGGCCGCGCAGATGCAAATGGCGATGGCGGCGGCGGCGGCGGGTCGCAATGGCGGGATGCTCAACAGCGCCGCCGGCCCCCTCCAGCAGCAGCTCCTCAAGCAGCGCCTCGCGGTGGGAGGCGTGGGGGGAGGAGGGGGCGTCCAGGGCAGCGCCGGTGGGATGATCAAACCCCAGCCACACCAGATCCATCAAATGCAGATGATCCAGATGCAAATGCTCCAACAGCAGCAGCAGCAGCAGAGATTGGCGGCGGCGGCAACGGCGGCAGCGGCGATCAAGAGCGGCGAAGCCAATCCCGCCGCTAGGCGCAAGAGGAGGAAGATCGGCGATAGGCAAATCCCCGATAGAGTTGGAGCTCTCCTCCCCGAGTCGGCGCTCTACTCGCAGCTGCTGGAGTTCGAGGGCCGGGTGGACGCGGCGCTGGCCCGGAAGAAGCTCGAGATCCAGGAGAGCGTCCAGAATCCACCGCGCTACCAGCGAACGCTACGCATGTACGTCTTCAATACGTATGCGAACCAGGTAAACAACCACGACCCACACATGGGATACAACCCGGGCGAGCCACCCTCGTGGACGCTCCGGATCATGGGCAGGATCGTCGGGGACGATGGCGAGACCGAGAGCGCCGCCGCCAAGAGCTTGCCATTCCCAAAGTTCTCCTCCTTCTTCAAGAGGATCACCGTCCAGCTCGACCCGGCAATGTATCCCGAGAACTCCACCATCGTCTGGGATGCGTCGAGGAGCACCGGCAACAACAGTGGCGGGATCATCTCCAGCAATGGCAGCGGCGGTGGCGGCGGCAGCGCTCCCGTGGAGGGATTCGAGATCAAGAGGAAAGGCGACAAGGAGCTGACCGCGATCATCCGGCTTGACATGAAGTATACTCCGGAGAGGTACAAGCTCTCACCGCCGCTGGCGGAGCTCTTGGGTGTGGAGGTCGAGACGCGAGCTCGGATCATCGCGGCTTTCTGGCACTACATCAAAGGGAAGAAGCTCCAGAACCCGAGCGATCCCACCGTCGTCAACTGCGACTTGCCACTCCAGAGAATCCTGGGCGAGGACCGCGTCAAGTTCACGTCCATCTTGAACCGGCTCCACCAGCATCTCTCGGCTCCACAACCCATCCAGCTGGAGCACAAGATCAAGCTGAGCGGCAAGAACCCCGCCGGGAACGCGTGCTACGACATCGTGGTGGACGTGGTGACGCCGCTGCAAAAGGATATGGCGATGTTCTTGGCCAACATGGAGAGGCACAGGGACATCGAGGCCTACGACGAGCTCATCTGCAGCTCCATCCGCAAGATCAACGAGCACCGCAAGAGGAGAGCCTTCTTTCTCGGGTTTAGCAACTCGCCGGTGGAGTTCATCAATGGTCTCATCGCTTCGCAGAGCCGGGACCTCAAGATCATCAATGGCCAGGCCAGCCGGAACGCGGAGAAGGAGCGTCGATCGGATTTCTACTGCCAACCATGGTTTGTGATCTCGATTTGCTTTTTGGCTGTTCTTGTTTCATTGATCGGTCGAATTTTTCGTGCAGGGTGGAGGACGCAGTGATCAGGTACTTGAATCGAAGAACAGCCAGGGTGGCGGAAGCTGCGGCCAATGCGGCACCAGCGGCGGTGGCGTTGGCGACAGCGAATTCTTCCGTGACTCCCAGCTAAAGCTTAGCTTGATTCGAGAAAGAACAAAGGGAGGGGAAACTACTATATCGCTACGAAGAACACTTGTACAATTTTTAATCAATTTGAAGAACCCTAATTCCTTGCTGCTATGCCGACGCCTGGCGATGGCGGCAGCTACTCCCTGGAGAAATTCAAGCTCTACGAGACGCAATCGGTGCGCTGTGCTTGATGCGATTTGGATTTGTGTGATGATCGATTGCGTTGTTGGCAGTGGTTCTACCTGGTTGCGAGGGATTCCGAGAAGCGGCACTGGAGAATCCTCAAGATCGACAGGACCGAGCCTGCGGAGCTCAATATTGTGGAAGATCCCGTCGTCTACACCAAGCACGAATGCGCGGGGAGCTTGCAGAGGGTCGCCGAGGGCAACAAGGCCACTGGTGGACTCCATCTCGTCACCAAGGCTTACGGCATTGTCGGTGAGCGACCATTCCTCCTCTAGCTGAGCTCAGCTACGATCGATCGATTGATTGGATCATCTTTTTCTCTTTGCAGGGTTTATCAAGTTCCGCGAATCACATTACATGATCCTTGTTTCCAAGCGTCGCCAGATTGGAAGTTTGTGTGGTCATGCTGTGTATGCGATCGATGAGAACCAGCTTCTCACCGTTCCTCATCCCACTGTCCAGACCGAAGTAGCAGCTTCCAAGACCGAGCTCAGGTAAGATTTTTTTCTTCGTTCTGCTCCATCTATGTTTCTTCGCCCTCTTCCATTTTGTTCTTCTTACAGGTATAGGAAGCTGCTGTCTAGCGTGGATCTCACCAAAGACTTCTACTTCAGCTACACGTACAATCTCATGCACACTCTCCAGAGGAACGCACTAGAAGCGGGTGAAGGTGCGGATAGTAACATTCCTTACGACAACATGTTCGTTTGGAATGCTTTTCTGACGCTGGGAATTCGTCGTCGTCTTGGAAACACCAGGTGGACTGTGGCGCTAGTTCACGGGCACTTTGAGCAGGTACTTGCTACTTGCTCGTTTGTTGTGCTGAGAAGAATTCGGCTTTTTGTCAGGCAAAGCTTTCAATCTATGGTCATGTTTTCTCCCTCACGCTCATTGCACGGAGGTCGCGGCATTTTGCCGGGACGAGGTTCGCTGCTTTCCTTTCTTTGGTTTTTAACTTTTTCATGTTCTTTATGATGACGTGCAGATATCTCAAAAGAGGTGTGAATGATAAAGGCAGAGTCGCAAATGATGTCGAAACCGAGCAGATTGTGATTGACGAGACCAAGCCGGGCCTCATGAGCTCTGTGGTGCAAAACCGTGGATCCATCCCGCTCTTCTGGTCACAAGAAGCTTCTCGCCTCAGTCCAAAGCCCGACATTGTCTGTGAGTGCCTCGGATGCTTTTGATTGCGTATGACTAACAGTTCTTGTGCAGTACAAAGATATGATCCGGTCTATCTGGCTACCAAGCTGCATTTTGAAGACCTTTCACGAAGATATGGCGATCCAATCATAATTCTCAACCTTATAAAGGCAAGTGTAGTCATGTTAGCGTTAAGCTCTTATCGTGTGAATCCGGTGTAGACGGTGGAGAAAAGACCGCGTGAAATGATGCTGCGACGTGAATTTGCAACTGCAGTCGGTTATCTCAATCAGATTCTTCCTGAAGAACGCCGTTTAAAGTTTATCCACTGGGACTTCCACAAGTTTGCCAAAAGGTGTTTTGTTTTTCGTTCTTGTCTCACCTCATTGACGCTGTGATTCCAGTAAGTCTGCAAATGTCTTGGCTGTGCTTGGAGCTGTTGCAACTGAAGCATTGGACTTGACTGGCTTCTACTACAGCGGGAGACCATGGAAAGAAAAAAAGAAATTTCAACGTCCGTCTTTGTAAGCTTTCCTCGTGGTCTGAACTGTTTACGGTAACAATATTCTCTGACAGATACACTGGGGGTTCTGAAACGGCAAGCTCCAGCGATACAGTAAACTATGACCGAGGGAGGACCTTGCAATCTGGAGTTTTGAGAACAAATTGTATTGATTGCCTGGATCGCACAAATGTTGCGCAGTACGCATATGGCTTGGCAGCACTTGGACGGCAACTGCATTCCGTTGGAATCACAAACGTACCGCGAGTAGATCCTGACAGTACCATAGCCGCAGCTCTGATGGACATGTACCAGAATATGGGAGATGCATTGGCTCTTCAGTATGGTGGCTCCGCAGCTCACAACACCGTAAGAACCATCGACGCTGATTAGTCTTACATATAGTGCTGCTGGCAGGTGTTTCCTGAGAGGCATGGGAGGTGGAAGGCGACCACGCAGTCTCAAGAGTTCTTGAAGTCAATTAAGCGGTACTACAGCAACACTTACACTGACGGCGAGAAGCAAGACGCGATGAACTTGTAAGCACTTGAAATGTTTCCTCCTTTCCTTTTTTCATGACCATGTGTCTGCCCAGGTTCTTAGGCTACTTCCAACCGCAAGAAGGAAAACCAGCTCTGTGGGATCTTGATTCAGATTACTACCTTCATGTCGCTGGCTGTGGCGAGGAATTGTTTGAAGATTTCGTCTTGTAAGTAATTAATTTATTAGTGTGGAGATGCTCAGTAACCAGCTCGTGGTATTTTAGGAAGCCGTCGCCGAAACTTGAAGCCAGCAGCTCAAAAACGACGATTTCAAAGCTATCGACTTCCAATGACGAGTCCACTCGGTTGAAGCTGACATCATTTGATAAAATCATGCAGGTGACGAGCGGATTACTGAAGGTAGTCTGCACTCAGAGTGATTCAGATCCGAAAGGAACCTGCACGGCCCCTGATGCTGCGTAAGTATAAGCGGAATGGAATAGGAAATAGCTAACCCGTAATTCTACAGAGAAGTGCAGTTAAAGAGTCCCAACTGGCTGTTTGGCCAACGGAAGCATGAGGAGCCGCCAGCAGTTGTGGCGTCAGAGCCATTGCAAAAAGAGAAGCAATCTGAAGTTTCTACGGAGGACGATTGGGTAGCACTGGTGATGCCTTCCGAACAGGATGTATCTGACAGGCAAGAGCTCAACTCTTTGTCTTTCTTCGTCTAAACTGGTTTTCTTGTTAGTCTATCCCTTACGACGGAGTCAGAGAAATGGTATGGGAGCGATCTTCTTTTTGGAACTGTCGAAAATAGCCCGGCTTATCTGCACTACGCTCAATTTTGCGAGGTACGGTGTCCCTGTTATTACTGATTAGATGAGTGATGGTAGTGGAAAGTATAGCAGGTTGGAAGCGTCAATCCCTTTGATCGTGGCACGGACGAAACAGACTACTTTTGCGACAACAATCAAGACGACGGGGACGTTGCATCAGCCATGGAGGCTGCTCTGGCCGAGTTTGATGAACTTTGTGCTCTAGATTCATAGGCTACTACCAGGTAAGAATCGGGCGAGCGTTCTCTTTTCCAAACTAATTTTCCTTTTAGGGGGAAGTTAATGGTTCCAAGGCATAGGGTTCTTCTGCCTAATGCCCCGAGGCCATGCGAACAAGCGGCGTGTGCGCAGGGGAGTCCATTTCCATCCAGGTATGCAATCACAGGAAGAATAAGGAAGGAGGTTCAAAAGTAGAACTTCTTGCGGAGCTTAAAGCGTGCGCTAGAACAAGGGACCTTGACCGAGGGAGAAAAATTCACTCTTTAATCAGTGTGCGTGAAGAAAGATCCAACGTTTACTTGGCCACTGCCCTCATCAACATGTATGGAAAATGCGGCATTCTGGCCGAAGCTCGACGTATTTTCGATGGAATGCCGTCTCACACGGTTGTATCATGGACTGCGTTGATTCTGGGACTTGTAGAGAATGGCCAGGAGGTGGCGGCCTTGGAAACGTTTTCTCACATGATATCCTCGGGGGCGGTTCTTCCGAATTCTCGAACCTATGTAGCAGCATTCAAGGCTTGTAGCCGTCTGGCAGCGATGGAAGGCAGCAGTGCAATGGACGGTAAGGCTGTCAAGGTGAGCTCCTTGGAAAAAATAATGTTTTTGCATTGCGAGCTTCTTAAAACTAGTGGCTGCTGTGTTTCAGACTTGTATGTGGCGAGCATTCTTATAGATGCGTACGCCAATTCCGGGAGCTTGGTAGACGCTGGAAGAGTCTTCGACTCGATAGGGTGCCGGAACGTTGTGTCGTGGAATTCACTCATCCTGGGGCATGCTGAGAACGGTGAAGAAGATGTCGCTTTGAAGTTACTTGAGTGGATGCTGTGCAACAACTCTTGCAAGCCGGACGGTCGGACATTCCTTGCTGCAGTGAAGGCTTGCACAAATCTGGCAGTGAAGGAAGCGGTTCGTGAAAGCGACGAGACAGTCACCAAAGTTCTCTCTTTGGAAAAGGGCCTGGCAGTGCATCTTCAGCTGACAAGGTGTTGCAAAGACCAAGACGACGTCTTCATTGCCAACGCACTTGTCGACATGTACGCAAAGTGTGGGAGCTTGGTGGATTCTGAGAGGGTCTTTCACGGCATGAAGAATCTCACGGTCGTGACTTGGACTTCGCTGATGCTCGGTTACGTTGACAATGGCCGACAGGAACTGGCCTTGGAGCTGTTTGTGTCAATGGCAAACCTTGGAGCTGTTTGTCCACCCAATGCCAGGACCTTTGTGGCAGTACTCAAGGCTTGCACGGGCATGGCAGAGAAAGAAGAGGTGACAGTGGTGAGCGACAAGTCTTACAAGCAGCTCTCTCTGGAAAAAGGACTGGCTCTTCACTCGGAAGCTGCGAGACATGGCTGTGACACCGAAGTGTTCGTCGCAAACACCTTGGTTGACATGTACTCCAAGTGCGGGAGCTTGGAGGACGCAAGCAGGGTGTTTTACCAGATGCCACACCGGAACGTGGTGACGTACACGGCGCTGATAACAGGTTTCTCCGAGACTGGTGAAGCGAAGCTCGCTCTCGAGCTGTTTTCGCTCATGAAACGAGACGGAGGCTGCGTTCCGGACAGTAAAACTTTTGCGGCTGTGCTCAAGGCCTGCGGCGGTGCCGTCGACTTGCAAATGGCGAGAGAGGCTCACGCAGCTGCTTGCAGGCGTGGCCTCGAGAGCGATCGAGTTGTAGCCAACTCCGTGGTAGACACGTACGGTAAGTGCGGAAGAATTTCCTGCGCTCAGCATGTCTTTGACACGCTGTGTTGCAGAGATACAGTGACTTGGACTGCTCTTATTGCTGGATATGGCCGTCAAGGCGACACCGATCGAGTACTGGCACTTTTCCGTGAGATGGAAACAGCGGGGTCCCGACCAAACGGTACGACTTTTGTGTCTTTGTTGGCCGCGTTCAGTCGTGCGGGCCTCGTTGACTCTGGGAAACTTTGCTTTCAGGCAATGCGTTCTCGGTACGGGGTTGATCCGGGCATGGAGCACTATCTGTGCATGGTGGATTTGCTCGCACGGGCCAACTTAGTGGAAGCTGCCGTGGAGACTCTGGAGCGAATGCCATTCAAACCCGAGGCGCTGGCTTGGAGAACAGTCCTGGGCGCGTGTCAAGATGGAAACTTCGGAGCCGGGAAGATTGCTTTCGAGTCACTGATGGGAGCCAAAGGAGATCACGCGGCTGCTTACGATTTGATGGCGAACTTCCACAGCTGCCTGGCGATATCTCTGCAGCGGTGAGAAGTATGTGTGCTGCCGCTACTGAAAGTCGAGGTTCTACTTTGTCTCGAAGGTGACGGGTTTCAACAGGCGTGACTGCTGCGTCGGCTGCTCGAGTCCCCACCACACTCACGGATTCCTTCGCAGATACAATTGATCAATCCAAAGACTTCGTCGACTGCGGATCGTGACGTGATTCCTCGCGAGCGCACCTTTCCTTTCTCGCGTGTCAGCTTTTACTCGGTGAGTGGTGGCTTTCTTTCTCTTCTTCGAGTCTCTCGAGCCAAAATAGCTTTCTTTTCTGCAGGAGAGAGAAGAGAAGATGATGCGTTTGTATATGCGTCTAGCTCGCCTTGGAGCCATTATAGCTCGTTTGCTGGAGCAAGACATGGCAACAAATGAAAAAATTTCCATGAACTCGCACAGATGCTCTCTTTTGTTGTGTTGCGTGACTTGTGATCCATCTTACTCCACGTGATTCCCATGTCTCTCGCAGGATGGCGAGTTTTGCCCGAAAAGAAATTGTTGCGCCATCGCTGTCACACCAGAAGCTTCTCTCGAGATTTTCACGTAATCCGGTTTTGGATGAGTTCGTTCGTTCTACTCCACCAAGCGGGAAGTTAAAAAGCAAAGAAAATTTATGTCTCTGTACGAAGTCGAAAGGAAAACTTGTAAAGTGTGCATGCGTGTAACTCTCCTCGTCCATCCGTCAAAGATGCGATTTCCATGTGTTGGGGGACACAGGCATATTCGTTAGTTTATATTAGGGCAAGGTGGAAGCCTTCCCCGGGCAGAGCCAAGGAATAGAGAATCAAAGTCTTTACGCTAAAATATTTGGCACATTTGGGGAAGGAGAGGGGTGAAAATTATATGCCAACCAACCAACCATATATGCGGATATCTTCACATATAATCACCAAGTGCTGTACGAACCCTGGCGGCGGAGCCGCCTCGTGGCGCCACGACAGTCCATCCATTTTGGGATCCACTCGTCCATCTCCGCGTTTTAACTAGGTACCACCTTCTAAATCTTTTACTTGCCCATTTTCTTCCTTCTCTTTTTTACTTTAACCTTGCGAGGTTGTTGTTCCTTGTGCGCCTTTGGAGTGTGCTTGGTTTTTTCCCCCCTTGATTTTTCTCCTCCTCCTCCTCCTCCTCCTCCTTCCTCGAGCGCTTAGGGTTTGTGGATCTCGAGCTCGACGGCGGCGCTCTCTCCCTGGAAGAAATCTGGTAAGCGAGCGAGCGCTGGGAATTCTCCCTCCCATGCTCTGCTGATCTCTCGTGTCGCGCGCTAGGTTTTCCCTTCCCCGCCATAGCTGCTAAGGAGGAACAAGCATGACGCGCAAGTGCTCCCATTGCGGGCACAATGGACACAACTCGCGGACGTGCCCCGATCGCGGCGTGAGGCTGTTTGGCGTGAGATTGACCGAGGGGATGCGCAAGAGCGCCAGCATGGGCAATCTCCTGCATTACAATCCCTCCGCCGTCACGCCGGAGCCCTCGGATTCCGGAGCTATCGCCGATGGTTACGTCTCTGATGGACTCGTCCAAACATCCAGCAATGCTCGCGAGAGAAAGAAAGGTGAGTGAGTGCTAACTTAGATTTCTTCCTTTGTTCTTCGTTTCCACTCACAAAGGAGGGCTTTTCTTGGCTTGCAGGAGTTCCCTGGACGGAGGAAGAGCACAGATGCTTCCTCTTGGGCTTGCAAAAGCTCGGCAAGGGCGATTGGAGGGGCATCGCCAAGAACTTTGTGACGACGCGGACTCCCACGCAGGTCGCCAGCCACGCGCAAAAGTATTTTATCCGGCAGAGTAATCTAAGCAAGAGGAAGAGGCGCTCCAGCCTCTTTGATATCTCTCCAGAGGTGGTAAGTTGTTCGATTTGCAAGAAGGAATTGCGCTCAAACTTTGGCTTCCAGGATGTCGCAGCTGCTGCTGGTGGATTTGACTCCTTCACCAGTCCAGTTCTAGATGCGATGCCGCCACCACCACTCCGCCAATTGAGCAGCGGTCCAGCGCCAGCATCCGTCGCTCCAACATTTCGCGAGAGCTTGCAGCCGTTCCCAGTGGCGATGGCCCTCGACTCCGTGAAGGAGGAGGAGGTGATGGACTCGAGCGAGGGAGACACCACCAACGAGGAAACCAACAGAAGTTCGTCGACGACACGAGCAGCCCCCGTCGCCTTCCTCCACCCGGTGCCCGTCCCAATTCCCGTGGCAGTGCCGGTGTGGCTGGGCCTCGGCCCGTGCATGGACCGGCCTCCAGCTCCATCGCCATCGCTATCCTCCTCCTCCAAGCTCGTCCGGCCAACAGCCAGCCTCCCAAGAGCTCCGGTGAGGCTCGACAGCGGCGAGCTTCCGCAACTGCGGCTGGGACTGTCGGTGGAGCCGCTCAAGCTGGACGAGCCATCGACGAGACACTCGGCCTTCCACTCCAAGAGCTCCTCGTCCTCGGCTTTCAGCAGCAATTTGCGGGACCGCAACAACGTTCCAATCAGCGTCGTGTGATTCCACCGCTCGATCGATCTCTCTCGTCTCGATCGAAGCAGCAGCGAGCAGCAGCGAGCAGAGATTTCTAGTGTCGCAACTCAACTTTGACGAAACGATTCTTTTCTTCTTGCCTGTGAATACGTGTTGTAGTTTACTTCTAGTCACTGGTGATGACGTTCTTCCGAGGCACCTTTTATCTTATAAACTATGATTCACGTATGATTCTTTTTTAGGGCTCTTTTAACTACCAGATGGAATCGAGCGAGTGAGAGAATCTCGCCTCCTTGTCGCGCTCGATCGCCATCGCTCGCTCTCAATGGCGGAGGAAGGAGAAGAAGTCAAGGGCGACGAGGTGAGATTGTTGCGTGATTGAGAGGGAAATGTGGATGATTTGTTTATTTTGCGATGGATCAGGTGAAACAAGGGGAGCAACAAATGGAGAAGGAGGAGGTATCGCCGCAAACGACAACGACGGATCCTTCCACATCGGAGGGGACTAAGGATGAGGCGCCCCAGGTCTTCGTTTTAAGCGACTTTGTTATAGTTTTTGGATCTAAATTCGTGTCGCGACTGGGAATGTAGGCCGAGGAAAGGCACCAAGTCATGTTTCACATCGAGGTGGGATATCATCACTAAACATCTTAGATAAGATGAAATGTTGTTTCTCTCTTCCCTCCTTTCCGTGTTCTTCACACAAATGGCTTTGCTTTTTCTAGGAAACGATGGAGGAGATTGGTGATCTCCAGTCAGAGAACAAGGTGCTGGAGAAACGCCTGCTGGCTCTGCAGAAGCGACGCTCGACAATTGGAACCAAGCTCTTCCTCGAAGGTGCCGAGACACTGTATCAGGCTGTGAGAAAATCCTTGTTTTATCTCTTTCGAAGTGTTTCATCCTTGTTTCTTGTTTTGATTGGCAGCGGTTGACTCAATGGAAGAATCTCAAGGAAGAGATCGACCGGCTGGTTCTCGAGTACGACGAGAGGATTGAGGACATGCAAGAGCAAGTGAGGGAGAAGCAAGAGGAAGCCAAAGCGATGCGCTCCGAGTTTCTGGCCTACAAGTGGCAGGTTCTTTCGTTGTTGCCTTGCTGAAATTATCTTGCATGACAAAACAACAAACTGTAGCCGCCAGCTTTTTCTTTGATTCTTTCTTTCAGCTGAAACTAACGAAATGCACGATCTGACTCCAGTGCAGATGGCTAGGGAAGCCGAACACAGCATAACTGGAAAGCCGCTGAAGCCTAAGCTACTCGCAAAGGTTACTTTAGACTAACACTGGTACGGGACGGAGCATTGACGAGGGGAATTTATTGCCAGCTCCAAGCCGAAGAAAACGATCTGGATGCAGAGATTGAAACTCTGAGGATTCAGGGGAAGCAGCTCAAGACTCAGCTGAAAAAGCTGGAGCAGGCATTATGGAAGAAGGAACAGCTACCTGGCGGCCTTCACTTGGTCGACTTCGAGCAGCTCAAAATCGAGAATGAGTCACTCAACGAGAAGGTAAACTCCCACTTTACGAGGTAAACGATCTCCTTTCTCGTCGTGTTTGTGTGTGTGCAGCTATCGAAGAAAAATGACGAGCTCTTCCAGCTCAAGAAAAAGAGCACGCATGTAGTTCACGTGCTCACTCATGTTCGTGAGAAGCTCCAGTACGTCCAGAAGGAGACCGAGGTATATGTAGCTACGTTTCCTGGTTTCGTGACGAAGTTTTATGGTGAGTGACAGACTGATGCAAAAGCTTTAGAGACTGTGGACTCTGAATTGCTGGCCAAGCGAAAAGAACTGCACAGGGTGAAGGCTATGTGCAAAACTCTCCGAGCTAAGATGGCAAAGATGCAGGTTCGTCCACGTCTCTACTCCATGCTTTCTCTTTCTCTGCTTTTACTCTTTACGGGTCCTTTTTTTTTTTTTTCTAATCGGAACAACTGATGATTCTTTGCTACTAAACAGGAGGATATCGTAAATGTGACAAACCCCGCGCTGCTGGACGACTTGGAGCTCCACAAAGAAAACGTGGAGGCGTTTGAGAGGAAGCTCCGAGAGCTCAAGGGGCGGCACGCCGTGCTGACGAAGAAGAACAAGGAGCTCCACCGGCAGCTCCAGGACTCGCTCACCATGGGCAATTACGTGATTGGCAATCCCATGCAAGCCGAGACCACTGGCCCGACCAACAGCTTGAGGTGGGGATCCAAACGCGACGTGCTCAAGAAGAAATTCTCGGGAGCTCTCAATCACATATGATCGTCCAACAAGTAAGCCAAGCTTTTCTCTTTTTACTCTTTCTCTGTTTACTCTTCACTTTTGGCTAGAGCTCGTTCGCTTGGAACTCAGGTACTTCTTTTTCTTGGAGTCAAGAAAAAGAAGATAAATGTGCTGGAAGAGATTTACCGCTGCTACCGTACTCCATTTACTGCGATGGTGCTAAGCTTTTGCCAGGGCCTAGCTAGCCATCGCGCGAGCTATGGAAGAAAAGAAAAACTAAATAACAGTACCAGGTACTACTGTTGCTACTGCTGCTCGAGGAGAAAGTTTTCCACATTCCACCAATTCCCGCGTTGGTCTTGTTCGTTCTCCTCGGAATGGTGGACGAATGGATCCAAAAAATCCAAGCCAACGGTGTGCTGCGCTGCTGCTGCTACTGTCAATCGAATTTTGTGGAGTGGAATCGCTCGCCCGCTCGCTCGCTGCTAGCCATCTCGATCAATCGCCTCTAGCACTCTGCAAATTTAATGGACTGGTGGTCACTGTGTTTGTAGCAAGACACTAAACGCTCGCACGAACGAGTCGTCGATAATGCGATTGCGTTGAGATTCCCTCCCTCCATGCTTCCTCCCACTTGGAAGAAATGGTTTTTACTGGGGCGTTGACTGGGCTGGGCTGTGTTGACTGGCAGCGCCACTGGATTCGAGGTGGCGCGAGCGATCCATCGTCGAATTTTACAATCATGGCACGCGAGGTTTCTCTCGCTCTTTCTTACACTGATAACAAGGCGCGCGCGAAAAGGCCGAGATTTTCATTAACATTTGAAGAACCCTAAAAACAGGGGAGTCAAATCCCACTACGATCTCCGATAAGACGACGACGAATTGGAGGAATTCCAGAGCTTGAGCTTGAGATCGAGATCGTAGCTGTGCTGCTGATGCTGGTAGCCGCTGCTGGAGGAGCTACTGCTCAGCAAAATGTTGGTACCGTGACACTTGGATTGCTGCTGCTGCTGCTGGTGATGATGGTGGGAGACTGCCGGTGGGATGATGGGCTGCCCGGACGAGCTCGGGATCGCGAAATTCGTCCTGGCCTTGGCGCCTCGCAGCTTCCTGGCCGCCGCATCGTAGGCCCTGGCAGCGTCCTCTGGAGTATCAAACGTTCCCAACCAATGCCGGCACCGCCCAATCCTGTCGCGAATCTCCGCGGACCATCGCCCCCACGGCCTCTTCCGGACTCCCCGGAACACCCGACCAGGATTCGCCGCGCCAGTAGCGGCGCTAACCGCGGCGCCATTTGGAGGATCCGGGGAAGACGATGCAAGCGAATAGCCCGCCGCCGCCGCGGCCGCTGCTAAACTGTCGATGGTGGTGTGGCTCGTCCTCTTGGAACTCAAGCTGCGATCCAAGTCCAGCTCGCTGTGGCCGCGACGGCTGCCGTAAAACGTATGATCGTCCAGGAAACAGTGGCCGTGACTTTCGGAGAAGTGTTCTTGGCCGACCATGAGATCCATGTCGTCTTGTCGGCTGCTGTCGGGGACGCTGCAGCGATAATTGGTGGTGGCGGCGGCGTTGTAGCGCGGCGTCACTGGATGATCGTGATGGTGGCGGTGGTGGTGCGAGGAGGAAGAAGTGGAATCGGCGGTGGCGCCGCCTCCGCCGCCAAAAAGGATTCTTTGTCCCACCACTGCAGCGATGCCATCCAAGCTGCTGTTACTGCTGTGGCCGGGCGATGGAATTGGAGAGGTGCAAGGATTGTGATCCAGCGCTAACGCATCGAGCTGGCTGCAAAACTCTTGATCGTGGCGGCGGCGCCCTGCAGGACGAAGATTGAAAGACGATGATCCGGCAGCTCCTCCAGCGTATAGCAAGTGATCGAAGCTATCATGGCAATGGTCTTGATCGAACAACATTGGCGACGATGGAAAGGAGCGGGGCTCCTCCTTGATTCCAGTGAGAACTTCATGCAACGCCATCGCGTTGTGCGACGAGTGTGACTATATCCTCCCGAGAGAGAGAGAAAGAGAGAGATCGTAGAGCTATAGCTAGAGAAAATTTCTCTGTAAGAAACAAACAAGAGGTCTTGATCAGTTAAGTAGCAAGCAGGCTTTCCCCAGAGCGTGTCATTGCCCAGCTTGCACCAGGAATCAAAGCTAAAAAAACTGTCATATCTGATCTTTTTTCCACTCGTTCTTCCTCACTGAAAATACTGAGAAAAGAAAACAGCAGGAAATGGCTATCCAAGAGACATGGCGAGTGAAAACTACAAAAGTTCCATCTTTCTGCTAGCTAAGCTGCTGCTGCCTGTCCCACTCACTCGCACTTGCGATTGCTTGTGAGAAGCTCTCGCGCGGCAGAGAAAACAGTAAGGAGAACAGCGCTGGAAAACTCGCAGAAACTCGCAGACTTGCAGCAAGAGCAGGACTGTGTTTCTTTGTGGCGAAGGAGTGTGCGAAGAGATTATATAATCTGAAGAGAGAGTGACAACGACTGTGCTCAAGCAGCAAGCAGTGCAGCAGCAGCGGCAGGAATGGGGTGTTGCATTTCTCTCGCTCGACCTTACCTTTCAATCAATCACCACGAGAATCAGAGCAGACACCACCAGGCTTGAAAAGGCACAAGTTTTTTCTTTTTGCCGAAAGGAATCCCGGATTTCTTTTCTCTCTTCCCTGCAGATTTTCTCGTCAGTCAGCTCAGGGAAGAAGGGAAATATAAAAGAAAAGTATAACCAGAGGGACGAGCGAGGGAGAGAGAGAGAGGAACGAACACTATCAGCCGAAAAGCCCGAGTCTTTGTTCATTCAATGTGGAGCGAAAGTATCTATCTTTTCTGAAGCGAGGGCGATGGGCTACGCGTGGTGGTATGTGTGCATTGCATGCTGGTGCTGAAAATGGCTCGCCTGGAAAGAGACGTGAGTACTCATAGGGAAATGTAAAGGAGAGAAAAAAAACATTTTAGAAGAACCTGAGAAAACAGAAGAACCTCCTGAGACTTGAGTCGTTTGTGAGCGGCGAGCCTCGGTTTCACTTAGCTCGCTAGCTACTTGGCTCATTTATCGTTGCTCAATTGCTATAGCCGTGCCAAATTGGAGTTTTGGTGGGGTACTCACTCCTTCCCATGGAGCAGCCAAAGACCCTCCTCCCCACAGTGGAAACGGTGAAGCTTTGACAAAAGCTTCGCTCTTTTTCGTTTGAGTTTGTTCCACCACCACGTACCTACATCAGAGTTTTAAAAAGGATTACGTGCTCTTCACAGCGACAACAAAGAGAGAAGGCGACTTACACGACCTCAGGCGTAAATGGACGATGAATGGCAAATCATACGCCCGAATCTCGCCGCCTCACTAAATTCCCGATCGCAAGCACGTGGATTTTCTTTGATCTTGAACTTAAAGCGCAAGTTCTTTTCCACATTGTCTGGGAACTTAGTGATGTATAGTAATGAGCAATAGCAAGAAAAATGAAGCACGGGTTACCTTGGTTACTTTCGTTCACATTTGACACTTGACAAGTGTTATAATCGAGCACGCGCAGCGATCGGATTAACACGGCAACACAGCATTGAAACGTTGAAAGTTTTGGAGCGAGATGTACGAAGAGAAGGGACCACTCACTGACTGAATGGAGAAATGCACCTCATTGTTTGGACAAAGGAAAAAACAAAACAACTCGATTGGCAGCTGCAGAAGAAAGAAACGCTTTTTAAATGCCACTTGAGGCACTTTTACTCGCCGATTAAATCCATTGCTCGAGCTCAGCCTTATTTATCATGAAAGAGCTTGCACAGCGGTGACCACCCCCTCCGTAGGACTGTGCACAGGTTAGCATTAGTCATTCATAGCAACGCAAACTCAAAGCTTTCCAACCTGAGATATACCCGTTGTGTCATCGTCGATGCTTCGAAGGCTCACTTTCAGAGTGTCTGGATCTCCAAGTTCTTCGACTTCATAAACCACTGCACCGATAGGCCTAGAAAAGAAGAGGAACTTAAGGACTCGCTGTTGAAACACGATGAGAACCTTAAGCCAGCGCGAAGACTTTTCTCCGCAAGCTGATGTCCGAGATCACTTCTAAGCTCCTGTGCATTGTCTGCTCTTACACCCTGTGGAATGAAGCTCGCCGTCCGTAAGACAATGACTGCGTGAAAAAATAAACTTACAAGAAAACGCCCAAACTTGCCATTTCCAATCTCGATTTCAAAAGAGTTTTCGAGAATAGAGCGTATAATTTCTTGATGCACTAACACTCTTTGCTTTCCTCTCTCAAGAACAGAGTCAATATCAAGTTCCAGCAACTGCAAAATGCAGAAACTAAATGTCTTGCCAGAAAAAAACAGAAAGAACTACCTGGTTGAAAATTGAAGGATTCAGCACGGCATTGTACTCCAGCTTCAAATCCTGGATACCGCTCGAAAATGCCTTGCTCTCTGGAATGCTCCAGCGCCAAAGGTCGCCATCCTCCACATACTTGTACATCTTTTGCAACTTGTGCTCTCCACTCCAAAGTTCTTGTCACAATAAACGAATGCCGTCTGTAGAGAAACAAAACTGGCCGAGCCATGGATTTACCTGGAAAACGCTCCGAAAAGTAATCATAAGCAATCGTAGCTCCACTTCGATTCATGTCAACGACTGAATGGAGATTTTGTGGTGCACGGTCTTCACTGTGAAGCTTGTGGAGTGCCGTCTTGTGGTGATCCAACACCACAACTCTGGATACATAGAAATTCACAAGAGAAGTAAAAAGATAATCGAGAGATCGAGAAATCAATACGCACTCTTTAGCTTTACTGCAAAGATCTGTGACGAAACCGGCAGGACCCACGAAATCTAAAAGGTAAAACACGTCGACTTCCTCGACGGGCAGCTCGTCCACCCTGACAACACAAACCAGTGGAAATCAAGAACACGAAATAGGACATCTACAACCTGAGTGGACGGTAGACAGCATTTGGAAAGAATCGCGCAGCCTTGCCGATGGCCTGATGATACAGATGCGCTGCCAGTGCCGCAAACACTCCATCCGTGCAGGGGTAGTGATACAGGATCGCCGCGGGAAGCCGCATTGTCCATAAACCCTAAAAACCTGGCTCGAATTTTAGGTTTTTGCTTTAATAAAGTTTTTCCCGCCAATTGCCACAATTGTTTATTGTTTTAGAATTTGAAAGGGAAATTAATATTATTTACAATATATTAATTCAAGTTAATTTATATGTATCTCTTAGTCTAGATTTAACACCATATTACAGTAATAATTATTATTTTTATTAATTTTTTAACATATTGTAAATTTGTAGTTTTTTATTAATAGATCATCTATTTAGCCTCTGAAAATTTTATATAAATTAATAATAAAAATTGCATTAAAATGAGTACTTAAATTATTTCTTCTTACAAATCTTTCAAAATATTTCAAACTCTTAATAATAAAAAAATAAAATACTTTACACTAGACAGAATATTTAAGTACAAATATGAAATTTTTCTTTATTTAATTTTAAAAGAACAAAAGAATATTATTAACTTTAACAAGCATATAAGTAGTTAAATTTTTAAACCAAGTATATAAAATTATCAAGTTCAAAACTAATAAAATTATGACAAACCTTTTTAAAACTAAAAATATTTTTTATATATACATATATTTTTTTATAAAATATATCATTTTATTTATGTGTCAAGAATTTTTTTTAAGTATTTTTAGTTTAAAATCTTTATTAGTAAACATGACAAAAAATTTATATCTGCATCATTAGCACAACTTTTATAAAGGAATTATATATTTAATTTTCAAATAATTATATAATATATCTAACTTTTATTGAGATAAGTTATACTTATTATTTCAAATAAAAATTAATAAAAATTTATTTTTTATAAATTAAAAATGTTATAAAAATGTTTAAATGTTAATATTCTTAATGCTCCATCACGATGCCACTATTAAAAGCATAAAATAAGTTTGAAGTTAAATATTAACACTAAATTTTATATTTGTCATTAAAACCTTTTTATTTATTTACTTATTTTGCCAATAAAACATTTTCATCCTGGTCTAATTAACAACTATAAATTGTCTTGTTTGACAAACTCATAAAGTATTTATTTTAAAAAATAACATATAAACAAAATCTAACTATTTTGTTTAAAATGTTAAAAATAATTATCATATTTGAATATTAAAATCAATTGTCACACTTTGATGAATGAAACTACCTTGTTGCTCCCAATCTTGTTCTGCATAGCACAAAAAGATCAAGCCAATCAATAAAACAAGAATAAGAGTGTTTTTTCTTCTTACCACATACTTATCTTCAACTTAGAACAGCGATCCAGCAAGTTCTTCCCTCACAAACCTTTGGTGTGAGCGTGTCTATGTTCATCCAGGATATCCCAAGCCATCGGTCGGCCAACTCTGCTTAGAGAACACGAAAGAGAGAAGAAATGTGTTCTTTTCCATTCTGTTTAGCGGCAGAGCGGACGGCTGGGATGGCAGCTGAGCCGGCTGGCAAGCGTCGCGGGAACGAACTCAAACCGTCCACAGAGGAACAGATTTTGTAGGGTTTGCGCCTGGATTCCACCGGGGCTACGCTGGCGGCCGCGAGGTAGTGTGATCGCGAGTGACAGAGTGGATTGGATCGATGTGGAGGAGGAGGACGATCGCGCGGGGAGAATGCCGGCGCTGCCACGGGATTGCCGGCACAGGAATCGGGAGCTTGTGTGGGGCGAGGTGACCTTAGAGGGATTGATGGATGGATCTGCAGATCGCCTCGTTCTAGGGCGTGGGATTTGCTAGAGGATGGGGGCGAACAAAGGGCGAAGGGCGAAGAATCTGTTTAGAAGCTACTATGTGGCATTCGACAAGGCCGCGACCGATCAACCCGAAGTGGTCGAGAAGCACGTCTTTTACAATCGCGAGAAGGGGATCCAAAAGACAGTGTACTGTCCTGGAGTTTCGGACAAGAGCATGGTCACTATTCCCGAAGGCAAGGAAAACCAGCGCCAAGAACAGCAAGAAGCCAGTGCTGCTGTTACTGCCACCGTCCCCGCCGCTGCTCGAGGTGAAAGCCAAGATCACGATCAGATGAAAGCGGACGTGCAAGCTTTTGGCAGCTGCGAGCAAAGAAGTGATGCAGCGGCCCAAGCTGATCTTTCTGATGCTCCAGAGACCGGTGACTCGTCTTTGGATCATCCTGGACCGGGCAATGCTCCTTCTTCGCAGGAGAGCGATCGTGCTGATGCTGCGTCGGCTTTCCAGCGATGGCGTCAGTTCCATCTCCAGGTATTCACTCTGTCATCTTTCAAGGTTCTCAATCTCTATACTTCCTGCTCTTTTGCAGAGAACTTTCAACCAAGAGCTACGAAGAGTGAATGAAGTCACTCGCAAGGACGAAGCCAGCATGGCCATGGTTGAGCAGGAACGAGCTCAACGGGAGAAAGGATTAGCTCACGCTCTGGCTGAATCGGCTTCATTGCGTGCGCAGCTCTCAGCTAAAGAACAAGAAATTCAAGCGCTTCAGACTCAAGCTCGCATGCCTGTAAGTTGTGATAGAAGTTTTTTCGTTGAGAAAAGTGCTGATCGTCTTGACTAGCTTTGATGCCTCAGCGTCGGAAGCAAAGAAGAGCCGAATATGATCAAGGCGAGCCATCGTCTCAAAGGAGGCCACACAGGTCTCGAAGTGAAGAGGTTGGTATGTCTTTGCACTCTCCTTGTTTGAGATGTTCTAAGATCTTTGTCTCTCCTTTTTCAATAGGACCTGGTGTGGATAAACCAGCCAAACGTCCAGCGCCAGAATCAAGAGTTTGCGCTTCTGGCACAAAGCTTGCGAAACATAGTGAGTGAGGTTGCGAACTTGGAGAACAAGGCTGGTACTACGATCTCGTTCTCGGAGGTCTACGAAGCATTTCGAAACATCGAGGAGAATATTGACTCGAGGCTGAAAGGAAACATTAGAAGACAAGCTCCAGAATTACGTCCGTATGTAGAGACTAGTCCCTCGGAGTTTTCAAAGAGAGGCCATCACGTTCGACCACCACCTTCTCGAGAAGAAGAGCACCGGAAGAGGTTCGCGAGAGAATGGTCATCGCAACAACAGCACGGTCGTAGAAACAATATAGAAATGGTTTCGGCGTCCCACGGAGGCGATCCATCGATTTTTGAGAAAGTTGGCAAGGCAGTGGTGTGGAAATGGCGCTGGGCACTAGCAGTCTCCAAGTCGAAAACACTGTCGAGGCATCTGAAAAGCTTGAAGTCCCTCTATAAAGCCCAGCTTGCTCGAAACATCAACGCGGAGGCGACATCGTCGAGCACTTCAGTCCAAGAGATCACGTTTCTGGGCTCCATGGAGAAGACACTCATGTCAACTTTGCCGAGCTACAGCATCGTCTCGTTCGTCGTGTCACTCTGGCGGGCCTACACAGGTTGCACCAAGACTCAGAAGGTTTTCCTCTCGAGATTGATTCCCATCGACAGGATCATGGCCGGATTCCCGCTGTGGATCGAGAAAATGGGAGACAAGCAGGTCCTCGAGTACTTCTTCTCGCTCTGGCAGTTTGTGGCCTCGAGGCGGTCAGGAAAACGTCCACGAAGCAGCCAGTCACCGAGACGGTCACCGAGACGTAGTAGACATCACCTTCACCACGATCCAGGCCCTTCGATATACGAGTCTTTCCATCACTGCTGCCATCCAAACTCACAAAGCGAGACCAACAAGACATGCAGTCCTCACAGGGCAAGGTCCCCGAGACAGGGCCATGATCACAGCAAGAGAAGGCCAGCCACTACTGCTGCTCACAGGCTTCGTGTTCCTCCAAGAGCTCAGTCCAAAGAGCCAAACGAGCTGATGCAGGAGGAGGAGAACGCTGTGGGCGTGGTAGCAGCGAGCGAAAGAACTCCAGCTCCACCAGCCACTGCTCCAGCGGTGGTGGAATGCGCCTCCAACAACGAAGCTGGTCCTCTGTCGAGTTTTGAGTCGTTTGGCGCGACCGAGATGTTTCCAGGCTCTGTTCCGTCAAGCATACCCCTCACCGGACAAACTTTCTCAGCGCAAGCTTTGCGGAGACTACAGGTACGTGAAGAATTCCTTCTTGTTTCAGTCTCTTTTGTTTTCTCTTGCACAGATGCAGCTCCAACACGAGCTCCAAGACATGCAGCCGCTGTTGTCCAGAGCTACAAAAGCCATCCAAAACCAGGTTTGAGATTTCGTTGGTAGTTAAGTTTCCATTCCAGCTGATCCGTGAGAAAACAACCAGGCCGTGGTGGATCAAAGTCCCAAGTCTGCGAACTCGATTGCTTCGCTGTGGAAGGTTTGCAGCACGTTCGAGTACGCACTGACGGAAGCTCGCAACCAGATGCTGTCCATAATCCATGAGTCCGCGCGTGGATATCACAACGGCGCCCTGGAGATGGAGGATGCGGACAGATTTCTTCCCGAGGGCGTGATCCCAGTTTTCGGCGAGGTGGTGCTTCCAGAAGCCATGGAGAACTCTTCCAGGAAGTCGTGTGGCTTTCCCAACGTTTTCAGCCTCATCTCCAAGACGTCGGGGCTCCAACAGTTGCGGAGGAAGTCGTGCCTCGCGGCCCAGTATGCTGTTGGCTTGAATCACAAGCTCCAGAATCTCAAGGACCAGCCCAAGGCTTGGCAGACGTAGACAAGCAGCGTCCGTATTGCCAAAAGCTCCTTTTCTTGTATCATACTTTGTGCTTCCTCCCAAGTTTCAATCTGACTTCTTCGCCAGCATTCTTGCGAAGCCACTCTCTCTTCGAGTGTTTCTTCTTGTTTCGATTGATCGCTGTGCTGTGACAACAAAATCTATGATGGTTTATTTTGCTATAATTTCTCAAGGTGACACAACTAACACATCATCAAGCGGCCTTTCGATCCAAATTAAACGAGCTTACGCTCAATCCAAGCCAGCTGGGCTCATGACAAACTACTGAACTTAATGATGGCGAATCATTTTCGCTTACTGTCAAAGCGTACTTCACGATCCCCAATTCATTGAGGTGAACCAGATCAACATCGATGTTGTGGACTCAACCAGGTCGTCAACTCACGAGCAGTCACTCCCACCATCCACTTCCTTCCAAACAGGTAACCTAAGAAACCGCTGAAGCTGCATTTGTTTGTGAAGAACTGCAAATTTGAGTGAAAGAAGAGTCTGGAGAGCACACCTTACACAAAGCTAGAGAACGAAGCGCAGGCGGTGTTGGAGGCCAACGCTCGAACAATCTCTGGACACAGCGTTCCAAGGCACCTACTAAACTCTTCGCCAGATCGAGAAGTTCCTTTGTACGTGGCATGGGAGCTCTGGGATGATCTGGTGCTCGAAATCTTGTCTCGCCCCAAGCCAGAAGATATCATCCTTAAAGCCGGGCGCCTCTGCAAGCCATGGCATCGCCTTGCACGCTCCCAGGAACTCAGGGAGCTTGTGGCTCGCAAAACTGCCGGAGATGCAGATCCATGGGTTGTGCTACGCTTGCTCTTGTATCCTTCAGTGGCAGCTCTGGCAGGGAGCTTGATCATGGCTCCTTCTCCGTCGGTCCGCTTCGCAGGGACACAGGTTTCTTTTCCTGGCGTGTTCGCTGGGGCTTGTGTGTCATATTTGAGGGGTTCATCCTGGATTATCATTCGAAGTTGAACATTTATCTCCAAACACAGGTTTGAACACGGGTTATATCGCGCCTGTCAATGAAAAGATTAGGAAAAGGATGGATTTAACCATTGCGTTCCTTCTACGCTCTCTGTGCCATGACACCTGACCAAATTTTGTTTGGTCAGAAACAATTGGCCCAGGAAAACGAGGAGGTTGGTGCGGAAGAAGAAGACGAAACAAAGTATGGATCAAAGTCAATGGGCTTTGACCAGGCCGCTGGACGGAGACCGCATTTTGGCAGAGCAGCCTCGCTGCAAATCCCCACTGGATGGCTCCCCTTCGTCAAGACTCAAGATGAATTTCTCCCTCCCATTCTTGCAATTAAGGCTCTCCCAGATTCAGCAGCAGCTCGTTTGCTGTAGGAACCAGGCCTGCATTTGACGCTTCGGAGATTCGAGCAGTCAAGAATTTTCCGGCCGTCTTCCCTGTTCCATTCTCAATGGAATGGCGACCGGATTTGATTTAAAACTTTCCACCATCACCAGGCAAGGCCTTCGCTACTTTTTTATTTCAATTAGAACTTTGCACCTTCCCATTATCTATCGGTTCCTCGCTAGTCTCGTCATGGAAATGTATGTAGGGAGTTTTCCACAAGATGACAGGTCGATCCTTGACTGGAACTGGAGAGATGTGGTGAGCTCTCAGGTAGGATGGACAAGAGCAAGTGTTCCCCCAAATGAGCTCCTTTTCTCTGGCGCAGCAACGGCGGCTGCTCCTGCTTCTACTGCGGCCGCGATCAGCGCGGGCTGTGAGCAGCCCTGCGCTAAATCACCTGCCATTGAACCTTTCGGATTTGGCAAACCAAAAAGAGTTTCTTGGGGTGATCTGGTGCTCGCCATCTTGTCTCGCCTCAACCCAGCAGATATCATCCTCAATTCCTGGCGCGTCTCCAAGCAATGGCATCGCTCTGCACGCTTGCAAAAGCTCAGGGAAGCTGTGGGATAACATTCGAAGATTGCTGTCGGGAACTGGAGTTTCAGCGAGAATTGGATCGGCTTTAGAGGAAGAAGGTTCCCACATATCTGCCTAATCCTCGTCATGGGAACAAAGTTTCTTCTGTGTATCTTCTCGGCAAACACTTAGATGCCTGCAGCTCTCGGTTCAGAGTGGATCCGGCAAAGAAGCTTCCACAAGATGAATCTCGCCAGATCGTTGGTCCGAGTAGGTCATTGGCAGTCTTAGGCATGGCGCTTTGATCGTGTGTTGGTTGGATTGCGGTGTGGTGATGGTAAGAGCGTGCCCCCAATGTGCAAAGTTCAAATCAAAGTAAATAAGTAAAGAAGAAAAAAAAAACTTTATCTTGTTTCGCCATTGCTCCTGGAAGATTTGAAATCTTGCTGATGTGATCGATCAGTGCCAAGTCTGCCTCAAAATTGGACACCCCTATTCAAGAACATAGAAGCAGAATGATTGTGAAACAGAAACATTGTGCATTGCAAGTCATGCCCTCAGTATCCCTGATCTGTCCAATGATCAATTGCAAGGATGACTTATAACAGAAGATCTTTTCTTCCAAAAAGTTAAACCATCCTTAGAGGGGTAAATGAGAATATATTTAAGATATTCTTGAATATTTTGGCAACTGCCTATATTAATGTATGGCATTATAGATATACACTTCAACCTTACGTTATCCCTTCCTCTCAAAAGGATGGAAAGTAATTAGGGTTCTATGGCTGATGAGCTAGGATTTGGAAGAATTTTTGGTGATCTAGATGTGGTATTACTTATTCTTGATCCTTTTGTATAAAGCATTTTAGCCATTACATATACAGAATTTTTGAAGGATTGGTTTGTTGAATGTTTTGTTAAATTTCATAAACTTGTGGTCTAACTTGTCATAACACTTGATATGGTCCTTTCTATTGAGCAAGGAGCCCCTTACACAAATCATGTACCGTAAGATTGGGAAAATAAATTAACACTAAGTCATTTACTTTATACTTTGTTGGTGGACAATGATGAGAGTTATACTGCCATTATTGTCCCATTTGTACTTGACCCAAGTGTTTGCAGTTACAAATGCACTACCAAGAGCACTATTGTGAATATTATCATTAATTGACATGGTGATGAGAAACTTATATTGTTGACTTGTATTTGTTAATGTTGAGAACCCTCATGATATTAAGCTTGGTCCCTTAATACTTACTAAATGATAACTTACCATGTCTGTTATCATGCTCTATATGTTAGTTTCATTTGGTCTTATGGTTATTTATGGAATATGTCTAGATTTGTTAATTTAACATATCTATGGAATGTAGAAATTGTCCTAAACACATAATGTTGGCAAATTCACAATTTAGTGCCATTCCATATTTAGTAAATTCCAACTCTTGGTACTAAAGGTGAAAGCCCAAAGTGCACGTTTCTCAAAGGGGGAGAGGGGGTATAGAGGGTTCTAAATATATAATAGGAATAATGGATAGGTTGGGCATGGTTGACCAACCTAAAATATAGTTTGACTCCCACTTGTGTGCTTATCCTTATTTTACATTCAACTTGGGTCTAAACCCAAATTCCAAACCATGTTAGTTGGTGGAGTATTTATATCCTTGCGTTAAGGCATTAGTATGCTGAAATTGTGTTAAAACTTTGTTTAACTCCATTTTGCGTATTAATTCTGACATTAGTATGATACATGCTCTATGACTGTTTTAATATCACCCCATGCTCTTATCTCTTCACTCTTTAGGCTAAACACTCAAGAGTTACTCTATGCTCCAGTTCCTTCGCTCCTTGATTGCAAGTTTAGGAGTTTGGCTTTATTCTTTCATTTAGTAGCCCAAGGCTCTAAAACTCAAGTTTCACTTTACTGTCTTTGGACATGTGACACATGGAGGGTTTATGTTCCATTTCGTGGTTATTCTATAGTAAATCACTATAGAATAAAGGGTGAAAACCATATGCATTACATTTGGTATTAGAGGATATGTCTCAACAAGTACTATCTAATGAGATTGGGCAATTAATCTTATTATATATATAGAGATGAAAATGATGATCTAAGTGGGTGCACGTTTGGGTGCTAAAACTTTGCATTTATTCTTTGGATATGGATTTTGGTTACCTTTTTATACCATATTATGTGAGCTTGTGTTTAGGCTCATAGGTGTAAGCAACCAAAGGGAATGACTCGAGAAACGATCCATTGGGGTTCAAATATAGAGGGAAAAGGCCCATAAACAAGAGTGCACCCCCTTTTCCAATCGGTTAAGGGTCTTGGGATACTTGGGGTTAAGTGTCCTTGGGTTTGAATAGTATTGAGCTGGGTGACTTCCTGAGAAGTCCAAATTCAGGAGTTTACATTAGGATGGATTAAGATGTATTGTTTACACGAGTTTGCACTTGGGCTTGTAAGTGAGATATATTAGCAACTTAAGTTATACTTTGAGTTGGCAAATGTAAGCTCCAAGCCCAAGTTGAGTTGGCCAGATCAGTTGCCTCGGAATCAAGCTTTTCTTGAACGTCCTTACTCAAATGCAATCCCAACTCCACCGCTGTTCGAGGATGCCTTCCAAACATCGCAAAGTAAGGACTTAGCTTGGTTCCACTGTGTTGGCTATTGTTGTAAGCAAATTGCACCAACGGAAGATATAGATCCCACTGTCCTTGCCTTTGACCAATGCTACAACGTAGCATATCCTCCACCATCTGATTCACACGCTCAGTTTGCCCATCCGTCTGAGGATGATCTCCACTCGAGAGTTTCAAAGTCACTTGCATAGCCTTTGCAAAGCTTTTCCAAAATCCACTGGTGAACTTTGAATCTCGATCACTAATGATGTCTTCCGGCAAACCAAAATCAGGAAAAACCTTCTCCAAGTAAACCGCAGCCAAGTCGGAGGCAGTGACAGTCTTCCGAAGAGCCAACAACCGCACATACTTCGTCAACCGATCTACTATGACCCATACTTGCTCCTTTTGCCTCTGTGTTCGTGGCAAACAAGTGATGAAGTCCATAGAGATACTACACCAACGGCTCTGAGGAATAGGTAAAGGTTGCAAAAGTCCCCCCGGCTTCTCCCGTGGCACCTTAACCCGCTGACAAAGCTCGCATGATTTACAATACTTGAGGATA